GTGTGCTGGGTTTTGTTGGGGTACCAGGAGAAGATGGAGCCCTGGTTAGATACCTGCTGGTATTCCAATGGTAATTCCTTACATCACCTAGACACTCTGCTTCACTTAAATGATGTTGTCCCATGGGAATCCTGTACCCACCTTGGATGTCCAAATGACCCATAAAATTCTCTTTCTTACCTTCAAGTCCTGACCCTTCAAGGGTGCCGGGGTGAGGCAAGGAGCATGACAGGAGTCTGAGGCCTGGTCCAACACTGAGAGAGTCCTGTCACAAGGAATTACGTGAGCTCTGCAAAGAGATAAGAAGCACCACAAAGAGCAAACACTGCTTTGCACAACCTTGACGTGGCAATCGATGCTGTAGCTTACCACCAGGAGCAAGTAAATAGCCCCGGAGTTGCACGCTGCATAGCAAACATTGCAGTCTTATCAGGATGACAGGCAGCAATTTGTGGCAAAGGGTAAATCCCTCTGTTCACTCAGGCTTGACATATGGATGGTGTTGTTACACTCCCTGTTCTCAGAGGGTTTATGCATGAATTTAAGGTTAAGTACATGCATGCCTGTAAGATCACGACCTTCATTTAATATTGCATGGCCCAGCAGACCCAGAATTAATCCCAGCATCTTCAAGTGACAGCTCTCACTTGGTAACGTCATCCATGCAGAGTAGTGAGGTACGTGTACACTCATCTCTTTAGGCTGGGAGCCAGAGGGTTTTCCAGCCATCACTCCCTTTTACATGACCATCATTTTCTACTTTAAAAAAAACAGTTTCAGAGCTTGATCAAGACTGGGAAGAACCACCCCCCACACCCACCCACTCACCCACCATCTTACCCTGAGCAGTCTGCAAATGTGGACCTTGACCAGACCCAGCTCAGCTCTTCTTCCTCCTTCAAACCACTGCTTTTCAAATGTACCAAAAGCCTTGAAACCCAGTGATAAGCCATAACCATGGTCTGGCAATCAGGTCCACAAGGACAGGGTGCCCCAAGTCTTCACACCCAGGTCGAGTCCTGTCTGCTTCAGTCATGGGTTTTGCTGCTATTGCCAGTGGTTTGTTTCCAAATTCTGGGTAGTTAATCTTTTTATCTAGTTGTTCTGTTACTGAAAACGAGTGTGTTCAGTCAGGTTGGATCAAGTCCTTTATCACAACACAAGAGGCTGAGTATGTTTTACCTAAGTTTATTGGGATTTAATATTCATTCACCACCAGTACAAAATGTCAGATCTCTGCTATTTAAGGGCCAGAAACACGTCAAACGCGAACACAGCCAAGCATTGCTCAGAAACAGTTCCACTGTACTTCGAACCTGAGTAACTGGAGCACAACAAATACTTCAACCTCATATCTGAGGAGAGAAAAGATGAGTTTAATTACCAGGGACTTATGAAATAGCTCTCCCCTCCCTCCTTTTCTCCTCTGGACAGATGAAATGCTGGTGCAGCCATACATCTCCAGTGCAGCCACATGCAGCTGCAGCTGATTTCCCATCTGGTGGAACCCCAGTGAAGATGAGCTGCCAGGAAAGTCTGGTAAAGGCAAGGAAGAAAATCTCCCTGTGGTTTGCCATATGCAAATGTGCCGCAGGCTGCAGGTGAACCCAGCAGAGATGCTAACAGGATTTGTCCCCAAGGAAGCGGCAAAAGGAGTAAAATGCTACTACTTCGACACACACTGCTACAGCTCCACAGAGTTGTTTCCTTTCCATAGTGTACTAAGTCATAGTGTGCTTGATGTACCCCCAAAACACCAGATCACACTTTGTTAGCCAGCACAGTCTTTTGCAGCCCCCAGTCCTGTGGTTGTAGCTCTGAAACGAGGTGACAGTGCAGAGAAAGAACTGCCCCCTCCACACCAGCACCCACTCAGACCCTCGGGACCTCCACTTCAGAAGCAGACCTGGACTTCCTCCGGCTGGTGAGGCTGCCCAGGACCGACTCCTCACTGAAGGCCCCTTCAAAGGTCGACAGGATGGACTGGCGGAACTTCTCCTTGAAATCCGGCCCCACAAATACGTACAGGACGGGGTTGATGCAGCTGTTGAAGAAAGCGAGACTGGAAACCAAGGGGATCCCGATGTAAAGGGCCATTTTCATCTCAGGACTGGAAGAGTTTTTGGATATTTCCAGCAAGGAGAAGACATGATAGGGGAAATAACAGAGGAAGAATGAGACTGTGACAGCGATGATGATTCTGTATGGCTTCGCAGAGCTGGCTAACTGCCGCCTTTTCAGCTTGATGGCAACGATGCTGTAGCAGATGAGGATCACCATGAAAGGGATGAGGAACCCGCATAAGAATCGTGTTATGATCATGGCTTTATGCCTTATCCTCCACAGCCTCCGTGTTGCCTCGGACGAGTAGTCATCGGACAGGGCAAAATTATTGTAGCAGCTGGTGCTGTTCCTGGAACTGAGCGCAGTGTCCCGAAAGACGAGGTACGGGGAGCTGAGGAGCAGCGCGAGGACCCACGTCCCCACCGCGATCCTGGCTGCCAGCTCCGGGCTCCGGCGGTTGTGAGACCAGACAGGAAAGGCTACAGAAACGCAGCGGTCCATGCTGATGACTGTCAGGAGGAAGACGCTGGCAAACATGTTGAGGAAGGCGATGGTGCTGTTCAGCTTGCACAGGAGCTTCCCAAACGGCCAGTGGAAGCCCAGGGCGGTGTAGGCGATGCTGAGGGGCAGGAAAAAGGTGAAGATGAAGTCTGCAATAGCCAGGTTGAGGAACCAGACTGAGTTCACCGTCTTCTTCATCTTGAAGCCTGTGATCCAGATGACAAGGCCGTTGCCTGTCACCCCCAGCAAACAGGCGATGCTATACACCACCATGGAGAGGACATGCATGCTCTTCTGGAGGCTGGAGTACTCATCATAGGCAGTGGTGTTCTCAGGCTGGTCAGTGGGGAAACTGGCAGAGAAGAGTGGAGGGGAAGAAGAGACGCTGTCCATCATGAGCAAGCAGTCCTGAAATCACAACAGCACACATGGCCCTTATCTGCAGCTCCTACGGTTCCAGAGAGGTGAAAATCGTCACTAGTAACTGCACACAAAATGTGTGTGCAAAACCAGGTTGTGTATAATTAATATAAATCCTTCTCTGTAACTTCTGCACATCACAGAAATCACTGTGACCAGAGAAAACAACCCAGGTTTTGTTATTGGCATTGGCACTGTGAGAACAACACCTCCATAGTCATAGAATCAGAGTGGGTTGGATTGGGCAGGGACACCTTCCACCAGAGCAGGTTGCTCCAAGCCCCTCTGTCCAACCTGGCCTTGAAGACTGCCAGGGATGGGGCAGCCACAGCTTCTCTGGGCACCGTGTGCCAGTAAATCAGCCTGCAGCAGCAATCTGACACGGGCCAGTGTGGGAACCCCAAACCCTGCTGCTCTAATGCATCTTCTTTAGATGCCCACTAACAAATTCAGATAGCAAAACCCATCAAGACTGAGAAAGATTGAGTCAAAAGATTGTTCCTTCAGCAAGCACCTTCCAGGGAGGTGCACTCCAACAGCAGGATGACCCTAAAGGTGAGTTCTGGTGTCACCATCAGCCCCTCACACCACGCTCCCAGCGCACCCGCCATTCCCCTCACTCCCATACCCACCTCTGCAGCTCCCAGGGGCAGCTCTCACCGCTCCGTCACCACTCTGCCCACTGCTCTCACCTCCTGGCTGCCTCCCCACTGAGACAATGCTCTTCTGCAGAGTGACTCATGCTGCCTCATCCCATTTTGCCATGGCTTGGGATCACGAGGAATTTAGTAGGATCACTTATTCCCTAATCTTGTTCCTCAATTTTGGTTGCATTGATTTAACCCCTGAATCCCTGCAGCCACAGGTTGCCTGAGCCCATCCACTCCCTCAGATTTGATGCTCAGAAAACACACGGCCCCTCTCCTGCCTGCACCACACATCCCCCCAGGGCTGCTTCCTTCCTCCGGAGCACCAGGATGCTCACCAGGAACAAGCTCTGCTCCTCACAGCAGTGTCTGACCCATGCTATGGCCTGGCATAGCCCACACATGGCTTTGGCCAGCAGCATGGCCAGGCCCTCGAGGGCAGGGTGGTGGAGCCCCATCCTCCAGTTCATGGGGGAGGCAAGAGGCACCCCCAGATCACTGGAAACACCCTAGGGCTGGTGGGGGGCCCTCTGGGGTGCACAGCAGGGCTGGACCTACAGGATGACAGCAGCATGGGGTGACGGCAGCAGTGGGGTGCCAGTGGTGGGGTGATGGCAGCAGTGGGACAATGGCAGCAGTGGGGTGCCAACGGGGGGGTGACAGCAGCAGTGGGGTGATGGCAGCAGTGGACAATGGCAGCAGTGGGGTGCCAACGGGGGGGTGACGGCAGCAGTGGGGTGATGGCAGCAGTGGACAATGGCAGCAGTGGGGTGCCAACGGGGGGGTGATGGCAGCAGTGGGGTGACGGCAGCAGTGGACAATGGCAGCAGTGGGGTGCCAGCAATGGGGTGCCAGCAGAGCCCCTGCCACGGCCAAGGTCACCCGCACCCCACCGACCGCGTGCTGGTAACGCCGCCAGCCCCGCCTCGGCGCGGGCCAATAGGACGGGGGAAAGGGGAAGAGCGCGGCGCTGATTGGTCTAGGTACCTGGAGGGTGTGTCCCGCCACCGGGCTAGCGGGGCGGAGCGAGACGCTGATTGGCCCATGCGCGCAGGGGCGTGTCCGAGCGGGGTATGCTAGGCGCCGCCGAGCGGGACCGGGCTTCGGCGCAGCGCTGCGGGCGGGTAGGAGGCGTGCGGGGCGGGCAGGGAGAGGGAGAGCCGGGCGGGCAGCGCCGTCTCCAGCCACCGCTGTCAATACAGGGGGGTGCGGGAGGTGATGGAGCCGGGATCGGGGGGGCACAGAGCCAGGCGGAGATGGAGCCTCAGGGCTGGGGTTCATCACTGCCGGGGTTAAACCGGTGTCCCAATAAGAGGGTGGAAATGGGGGGCTTTTCCTGGCTAGGGAATGGGGAGCTTTGTTTCCCCTGAGCTTTCTGCAGGTTCGCCGAAGGCGCTGGGTGCAAACCCTGCAGTGACCTGTGCTGGGGGGGACGTGCTGGACCCAGCCGTGCTGCTCCCACCCAGAGCACTGTGCCCAGCCCAAGCGTTTCTGAATGTGGGAATTCCCACCCTGCCAGTGAGGCCCCAGACTCAGGTAGGAGAGCAGCTGAGCACCGCAGCCCAGCGAGGCCAGTGCACAGCAGCCCTGCGCTGAATAGACTTTAGCAGCTTGGCATGGGCAAACTAAGTGTGGTTGCTTAACAACCTGCTCACGGCCCTTTGCTGGCCTCCCATGGTTAATGGGTAAAAGGAGGCATTGTTCTCAGCCAAGGCAGTAAGGGGGCTGTCATGTCTGCCCAGGAGCAGTGGTCGCACTGATGGGGCCAGAAAGCTGCTGCCAGGCCTGGGCATTACATGAGCTATGAAGCCAGAGCTGCTGCCTCCCGGGGTGCAGTTCCAGCCATGCTCGCTTCAGTTAGGGTTTGGGGCAGGACTCAGACCTGTTGGAGATTTGCCCTCATGGCTGTGCACAAGGGAAAGCAGCAGAGAGGTTTAACCATGCTGGGGGGGATGCACCGTGCATGAAAACTGAGGTCTGTGGGTACGAGCACCTCTCTGCCTTTCAAATTACACAGCCTGCGTTGTTTAATCACGCACTGTCGAGCTGGGAGGGGGGAGCCCAGGTGAGGCAGTGGTGGGAGGGAATCAGATATTAAGCACTGTGATTAATGGATTGGTCTTAGATTAGCAGGGAAGCTGCTTTTTCCAGGGAAGATATGGGATGGGAGCAGGCTGCATGTAGGATTGTGGTGTGGAAGCCCCCACAAACTCTCCTCTCCACTGGCAGGTGACCTTGGACCCAGTAGGAGAATGGCAAACTCAACACAGGGTGACGGGGGCCTCCCCAGCGCTGCGCTCTGGGCCTCCCATAGGAACATGGTGATGGAGCCACTTGAAACCAATGACCCAGAGGTGAGAGCCCCTTCCTGGCCTCTGCCCAGCAGCTGCTTTGTTCCTGCTGACCTCTTGGAGCCAGGAATGAGGCAAGGAGACAGCCCAAGGCTGAGCTGGGGGGACCCATTCATCTTCTATGCCCTCTTTGCATGGAGGCGAGAGGGAGGACATCCTCCAACCATCTGTATGGTCATAACTTCACATCTATGGCGCATGCCCCTCTGCTTGAAGCTCTGATGTCCACACCAGAGTAGCCAGGCCATGTGGCTGTTGCCCATGGATCTCAAGCCCAAATGACAGCTGAATTATCTGGCAGGTAGAAACCCAAATCAGGATGAACTGTTTGTGATCAGCTGTACGAAGAAGGGATCTCATCTCCCTTCTGCAGCACCTTTCCAAGCCTTTCTCCATTCCCTGTGGCAGAGCCAGCATGGGTAAGGCTGTTTCTCTCCTCTCCTCTCCCAAAGGTGCACAACATCATCAAGAAGGAGAAGCAGCGGCAGAGGCTTGGGCTGGAATTAATCGCATCAGAGAACTTTGCGAGCCGAGCGGTCCTGGAGGCCCTGGGATCCTGCCTGAACAACAAATACTCCGAGGGGTACCCAGGACAGAGGTAACTGACCCCAACCCAACCCAAACCCAACCCTTGCAGGGAGGGAGAGGAACCACCAGGCCTCACCTCTGGGACATTCTGACCCTCTTGGCTTCTGTCCTTGGCCACATGTAGGACAGTCTCAGCAGGATCACATCTGCTGCAGCTGCTCTCCCAGTGGTTGCCACAAGTGCAGCAACATCCCAGTTTCTTCCCAGCTTGATCACTGGGATGGGTCTGAGTCATGGGTTTGGTTTTAACCCCTGTTCAATGCTTCCCTGTCAGGTACTATGGTGGGACAGAGTTCATAGATGAGCTGGAAAGGCTGTGCCAGAAGCGAGCCCTGCAGGCGTACCAGCTCGACCCCCAGAAGTGGGGGGTCAATGTCCAGCCCTACTCAGGTAATGGGGTGCTTAGGAGAGCCAGCCCAGTTGCACTGACCTCTGCATGCCCCAGCACTCATCCCTGTCTGTCCTGGTGTACTCTTGCTGCAGGGTCACCCGCAAACTTTGCGGTGTATACAGCCCTGGTGGAGCCCCACGGCAGGATCATGGGGCTGGACCTGCCTGATGGAGGCCATCTCACCCATGGGTTCATGACAGAAAAGAAGAAGATCTCTGCCACCTCGATCTTCTTCGAGTCCATGCCCTATAAGGTACAGAGAGATGCTCCAGGGTGCTCCTGTCATAAGCGTTGGTGCCTCTTAGCGTTGAAAGTGTCATTCTCCCAGCACCCCCTTCTTTATTATGGTGCTACACTTGATCTTCACCCATACCAAGGTGACTGAACCCTCCTCTTCCTCTCCCAGGTCAACCCCAAGACCGGTTACATCGACTATGACCAGCTGGAAGCAAACGCCCAGCTCTTCCACCCCAAGCTGATCATAGCAGGTAAGGATCAAACCCTGGCAACATGCTGGCAGGAGCTTATGTGTGTCCCCCGCTTGACTGTCCCCACTGTAGGCCTGGACCCATGGCTGTCCTCCCATCCACATCCCATCCCATCTCCCTGCAGGTATGAGCTGCTACTCGCGCAACCTGGACTATGCCCGCATGCGGAAGATCGCTGACGCCAACAGTGCCTACCTCATGGCCGACATGGCCCACATCAGCGGGCTCGTGGCTGCAGGTGTGGTGCCCTCTCCCTTTGACTACTGCGACATCGTCTCCACCACCACGCACAAGACCCTGCGGGGCTGCAGGTCCGGCATGATCTTCTACCGCAAAGGTGCCTGATCTGGCTGAGGAGCAGGGAGAAATGCTCCCCGCAGGCTGGGGGGGGCTGCAAGTTAAAGCTATTCCTGCTCTAGCTGGGAAGGAAGGGGGGCAGGAAGGTCTGGGAGCATCTGCAGAGCTTCCCAGGGCCAAGAGTGGCCCAGATTTGAGGAGGAACCACCACCATGCTTGCCTCCTGAGTGACCTTGCCCTCCCCTCCTGCAGGCACCCGCAGCGTGGACCCCAAGACAGGCAAGGAAGTGCTCTACAACCTGGAGAGCCTCATCAACCAGGCAGTGTTCCCTGGGCTGCAGGGAGGCCCCCACAACCACGCCATTGCAGGTATGCATCCAGGCTGGCCACCAGCTCTTGGTTGGCAAAGGGAGTTGGCAAGGATGCCCTTGGCTGGGCTCTGACCCCTGGTGTGGTGTTCATGGCAATGACACCAGCCTGCCTAGGGAAAGGGACTGTCCCTGTTTGCTCAGCTTCCATGATGACTTCTGCTGGCAGTGCCACACATTCCTATCAGCTCTCCCAGTGGGATGCACCAAAACTCACCCTGCTCTGCCTTCCTCCAGGGGTGGCTGTGGCGCTGCAGCAGGCCATGACACCCGAGTTCAAAGCCTACCAGCAGCAAGTGGTGGTGAACTGCAAGGTGCTCTCCACAGCGCTGACAGAGCTGGGCTACAACATCGTCACTGGTGAGGATGGGTCTCAGTGGTGGGATAGGGCTGAGCTTCCTTCTGCCCCCAGAACCAGGGGCCCGATGGAATCCCAAGTCTTTCTTTGCTGAAGTTTCCCATGGGAGCAGAGCCTACCCCGATCCCACATCCCCACCATCCCCTCTCTTTGCAGGGGGCACCGACAACCACCTGATCCTTGTGGACCTGCGCAGCAAAGGCACGGATGGCAGCCGGGCTGAGAGGGTGCTGGAGCTCTGCTCCATCGCCTGCAACAAGAACACGTGCCCTGGTGAGGGATCCCACAAGCTCTGCCTTCCCCTGCCTCACCTGCTGGGGATCTCCTGTGGGCTGTGCAGGGATCCCAGCTCCAGGTCCACGCTGGCTGCTGGGAACCAGGCTGAACCCCTTGCATGTGATGGGTTTGGTACCGGGTTTGGTCACACATGGCTTGTTCTGGTGCAGGTGATGTCAGTGCCCTGCGCCCCAGCGGTCTGAGATTTGGGACACCAGCTCTCACCTCCCGTGGCTTCCGGCAGGATGATTTGCGCATGGTGGCTCAGTACATCCACAGAGGTGAGGCTGGGGCAGGCTCGCAGCTCCAAGCATCAACGCAGGGCAGCCCCTCTGGGTGAGGAGGCACCACCTGAGCCAAGCTCAGGCTTCTCCAGCAAAAGAGCACACACAGAAGTGAAGAGTAATTGTCCCACTTGCACATCTAGATGTGTGAGAGCACATCTGGCCACAGCTGGGACTGACCAAACCCTCCCTTATTGCACAGCACTGGGCTGAAAGCATGCACCTTTTGGTTCCATTTGTCCTCAGGGGTCCCATGCTGGTTTCCCAGGGCAGAGTCCCTCCCAATCCTCCTCCTTCCCTCCCATCCCAACCCCTTCCCTCCCCTGTGTTCTGGGGAGCAGCCCCAGCCCTGCAGTGGGGTGCACAGCACCGAGCATCGCATCTTTCCCCCCGACAGGGATCGAGCTGACGCTGCGGGTGCAGAAGGACATGAGCCCTAAGGCCACGCTGAAGGAATTCAAGGAGAAACTGGAGGAGGAGAAATACCGGAAGGAGCTGAAGGCGCTGAAGGAGGAGGTGGAGGCCTTCGCAGGGACCTTCCCACTCCCGGGGCTGCCGGTCCTGTAAAGGGAATGCACCCTCCCCGCTCCTGGAGCCGCGGAAGTACCCGGGAATGCAGCACAGAGACCAACACACCCCGGTGCGTCCTCCCAGCACCTACCTCCCCGCTGGCACCCGCTGTGGTGCAGCAGCAGCAGCTCCTCACTGGGCTCCTTCTTACCTCCCATTTGGGGCACAGGACCCCCGCGGGGGGCACCAGCCCCTTCACCACTCAGTGTTACAATAAGGACCAAGCACGTTCCGCCTCATGGCCAGGTCTGATCCAGCTCTCGTGGCCATGGAGCAGTAGATGAGGACACGCAGGAGGGACACGGGGGCCACCTGTATGGAAGCCACCCCCCTGCAGCCACATGTGCAGTGCTCAGCTGCACAAGAGCCTTGACAGTGCTGCTAAAAGACCCCCTGCTTTCAGCCTCGAGGATTCCCTGCTCTCCATTTGCACCTTCCAGCCTCCACAGGCTTGGACAAGGCCAAGGTCTTGTCCCCAAGGAGCCTTCCTGGGATCACCATCCCATCCTATCCCGTGTCTCTGGGATCTTCTGAGTTCTCCGAGCACAAAGTTGAGGTTAGAACCACGTTTTAATGAGCACGCTCAAACGAGGAATGGACCCACAACCTAGGACCAGGAGTAGAAGCTTTAAAAACCACAGGCGATTCCTTTGTTGCGTTTGCTTTTTCTTTTGTATTTCAAAAATATCTGAACCCAAATAAATAATTTTTCTTTTTTTTTTTTTTTTTTTTAACCTTAAAAGTACATTTTTCAGACGCCTTCATTTGGTGTCGACATCTTGTTAAACCCCAGGGTTTAACACCCTTACAGCCACGACACTGACACGTGCTGCTTGGATTCCTCCCGCTCGCACTCGCTCCAACTATGGCCACAAGCACTCAGCACGCACAGGCACACGCGCGCACACTGAACTCCACATGCAGGAATAGGATACAGTGCTTTCAAATGAGATGAGAGGATTCAGCACAGCCTCCTCGCAAGCCCTCAGAGGCGGCTCTGAGCCCGGCCCCATCCCTGTGCTGGCACCGAGGCGCCGGTGGGACCGGGTACCCTGTTTCTGCCTTCCAGTTAAAACACATCCCAGGGACCCCTCTGTTATGGGGGTACATTGTGCTGCTCAACCATTGTGTTCCTGGGGCACTCTCCCCCTCAGCAGCATTGAATTCCCCATCACATCTTAATCCAGGAGCCTTTGTAATGCCAAGACACCAAGTCTACCACGTGGGCTGTCACCCACCATCAGAATGGGGGCTCCGGGCCCCCCATGCTCAATAGAACCCAAACAACTGGCCTGGGCACATGGAACCACCAACTGCCACCCTCAAACACCACTCCCACCCCGTACAATGTGGTGAATATTGCTAGAGTATAGGCAGTACTTCCCCTTGTCAAGGCAAGGCAGCTTTTAGGAGCTGCTCAGAAGTGATTGCTACCAGATGGAAGTAAATCCGAGCACTGTTCTCCGAGGAGTGAGTGCTGTGTAGGGTTGAGATCGCCTACTCCTATGGCTGACCCTCCTCGGGATGGGATCTGCAGGCAGCTCCGGGCTAGAGCAGAGCAGGGGAAGAACAGGAGCCTCCCAGGCAGAGGGGATAGAACAGGGGAGCTCCATCAGGCTCAACACCTCCCCTCCCTGACTGCCAGCAGCGAGAGGAGGAAGCCGGAGCTGCCATGCGGGAGATGGGAACATGCTGGCAGCACGCAGGGAAGCAGCGAGGGCCATGCAGAGCTGAGGGAGGGATGGGCAGTATTGCACCGGGAGGAAGCTGCACACACACAGGCCAAGATTCCCTGCGGGAGCTGTCAGTGCGAGGAGTGGAAGTCTGTTTCTATTGGAAACTAGTGAGGTACCACAGTGAAGATGAGGGAAATGTCTTAAAGTGCCAGTACAGGGATCTGCTCTGTACGGGAGGAAGGGTCAGACAGAGAAATTACTGAGTGAAGAGGAACTGAGCTCTCAAACCACCCAAAGCACTCAGACTTCCCCCAATTCCTGCTGCCATTGAGGCACCACGAGCAGCAAGGCTCTGGCTGCACCAAGCTGCCACAGCCCCACGCAATTCCCCCTTTCCCAGAGCCCATGTTGCTGCTGTAAGCCAGACTGAGGAGACCAAACACCCCAAGAGGTGTTTCCCCACAGCTCCTGCTTGAGAGCAGAGCTGCAGATAGTGCAGAGCTCCTGTTATGACAGAGGTACCCAGGGCATCCTCCCCGACCAGATGTGGCACGGAGATGAAGCAGGTCAGGCAGGCGGTGGTGCAAGTATTGCTCAACACGGATCTTGAACATCAGCTTTGACAGAGAGAGCAATGAGTTCTTTATCCATTATGAGTGCAGCTGAACACCAGAGGTCGAGACCACTGTGAGCAAGAGCTCACCCATCAGCCTGGAGGGAGACAGCAGTGAGTCAGCAGGAAAGCAGGTCCCACACTGAGCCCTCCTCCAGAGCCACATTCCAGGAGGGATGCAGGAGCTTTTGACTCCCTCGCGCGTCACCTGCATTACTCATTCACCAAGATGCCTCTTTCCCTGGGGAATCTCGCCTCAGCTTCGGTGTGGAAGCCGTTTGGGTGCACACAAACGGAGCAGGGGACACCTCAAATCACCTTTTTGATGGACACGGAAGTCTTTCACAGCAGGCCCAGCTCACACACGACACAAGGGCACAATCCAGAAAGGAAGAGGCCTTTAAAAGTGCTTGAAAGGCAGTCAGCCCTGCCACAAGCACTCTGCTCACCTTCAGCCACGCTGCTTCCCCTCTGTGACCTCAACCCGCAATCCCTGACCTTGGAAATCCCTCTGGAGAGTATACCACAACCTCGCTGTGCACCACCAGAAACAACACTGACGTTTAAAACAGCCTTGAATGTAAAGAAGAGAGAGGCAGCAGCGGTGCCGAGTTGCAGATGCTGGTGCCCAAAGAGCCTCCTTGCCTTTAGGACACTGGTTTTGGGGTGATGTGGTTCTCCCAGCAGTATCAGTGGGTCTGTGACACGTCTGTACACAGAACCTTCCCTGGGCTCGGAAGGGACATCACCTTTACCTCCAGCACTGCCTCACAGCATCACCAGAAACAGAGGTTTAAAGCAAGAGATAAACCCAAAGCAAACAACATCAGCTCATTTTGTACCATCGCAGCTCTTCTCCCCCCATAATCAGTGCTAAAACACAAATAAAACCAAGGCTACCTTCCTAGCAAGGCTTTTCTTGCTTAGGAGTACCACAGGGGCTGCTCTGGCCACATAGCACTGGGTAGAACAGACCACAGCCTGGTATGAGTGGCCAAGGAGCAGCATCTCCTCCGAGACTCCATATGGAAGCGCTGTGCCCCCAGCACTGACAGGAACAATGTGGGGCTCTCACCACTCCAGTGGCACAACCTTAATGGCACAGGCAGCAGCACAGAAGCTTTGAAAGGAAAAGCCCTCAGCATCCAGGCTCAGAGAACAGTCCTGCCCCGTCCAGAGCTACCCAGGAGCGCCCTAGGAGACAGGACAAAGGCCAGAAGCAGCATGCGGTGACACTGACCCTGCTGTGCCACACTGCACAGAAGTCAACTCCATGCCAGAAATAAACCCAAGCAAAATAAGCTATTACAGATACCTGGTACATCCGTCCCTGATCTCTCCTGAGCACTCATACCTCACCAGCCAGGCAGCTGCTCTACCAGCCTGCTGCCTCAGAGCATCACTTCATTGCACTGTTCCATCCCCCCCATCACAGAAAGCACCTAAAAACGAGGCTCCCCACAACTCATTTCAGCCCCTTTCTCTCTACTTAAAAGGCCTCCCTCAACCTCATGTGCTCTGATGATTCCCAGCTCTTTCCCACCCTTCTCAGAGGTGCAAACAGGACATGACAAGTTACAAGGCACAGTGCTCTGCATTCATGGCAGCAGGTGAAGCCTTCCACGTTCTGGATCTTAACAAGGCTGAGAGAAACTGAAAAACACTTTCTGGAGGGAAGCATGTGCTTCCACTGTGCTCCCACCCACCCAGGGACAACCTGTCCCAGGAAGCACCAGGGAACTTGGATAAACACAGCAAGGATGGGTAACTGCAAGCTGCCACCTTGCCAGGGAGCTTCTGAGCTACACTCACATGAGACACTGGTGGATTAAAACCTTCACGTCTCCATCCTGGCTCCATGGAAGGGACCAAGAGCATTTAGGGATCTGGCAGAAGCATACAGAGCACTGGTGTTTTGAGGGCTGTGCACTAGTATTGATCCCCGACACAGCCCACCTCTCTCCATGCCCTACTCCCCCTGGGATGCTGCCATGAAAAGTTAACAGTGCCCCTTCTAACATTTACAGAGTGCCCGGTGGTTCAGGTGATGGAACATCTACGTTCTTGGCTATAGGGAACAGAAATCCAGTCCCTGAGACATGGATTTCTGTGGAGCAGAGACGCTCACAAACACATCGGCTTCTTCACCCCTTCCTGATGGATGAGAGCTACCGCAGACAGCGATGTGAAGCAGGGATGAGCTCTGTCAGACCCCAGTGCAGACAGCCCCCAGGAGGCTAGATCTTGTACAAAAAGCTGGGCACGTAGTCAAAGCGGAGCAGAGGGCTCAGCCCCTGCCCGGGCTCCTGAAGGTACTGCAGCTTCAGCAGCTCTGCCAGGTACTGCACGATCTTGATGTCTTCATTGACCAGGCCCAGTTGAAGCTTCAGAAAGTTCATCCTGCGACTCACGATGGATTCTTCAGGTTCCCTTTCGCTGATGGGAAGGTGCAAATGGTGGCAGAAGGTGAAGAGGAAGGCTTTTGAGCACAGCTGGGTGAGGATGCTTTGGACGTGCATGTAGTAGGTGCTTCCTCGCTTGATCTGCGTGCGGTGATCCGCCAGCCGGGACACCACGGAGCCTTTGTACAGAGGGCAGCGCAGAGTCTTGCTGTCAGCATCCAGGATGCTGATGTAGCGGCTGTAGCGGCTCAGGGCGTGCAGCACGTTCACCCCGGCAGGAGACACCGTCCTGGAACAGCAAAGAGAGAGGTCACGGCTGGAGGGGACCCTGCAGGTAAGCAGCAGGTTGTGTCCATGCCCCTCTACTGCACTGACTTTCCCTTAGCTCACAACATGGTGCACGAGCCTCCGCGAGGAAACAGAGGCTAGCAGGGAAAAGACCAGCCAAACCATCTCTCCAACTTGCCAGATCCCAAAGGAACCTCAATCCATAGATCCCTACGTGCCCTCATCCACACTGTCCATGTGCTGCTTCATGAACCACCGCATCATAGGGCAGCTTCCTCCCTCAGTGGCAGGAGTGGGAGCAATAGGACACCTCTGGTGAACAGAAGCAAATCTTCCTTCTGGATGTGACAAGCAGCATCCAAACCCCAAACCTGCCCCCCATCCTTGACAGGAGCTTTACTTCCCCCCCCGCCCCATATCACTGTTATGGGAGGGAGCTGCTCTGAGGTGGTCAAAGCCCTGAGTGCAGCAAAACCTTCCTCCTTTCCAAAGGGAACCATCCTTAAACCAGAACATTCCCTGGCTGAGCCTGGCCATTTCTCATTCAGGTGCCAACCCCCAGCACTGTTCACAACGTGCAATTACCCAACGAGCCCAAATGTATGTTATTTAAATGCAAATGACAAGCCTACGCCAGCTCTGCCTTCTGTTCCTCAGTTCTGCGTGGGTAAAGTCGCTCGCGCTTGAGAGACAGCTCCCAGCCTCCAAACAGGAGCCCCAGCTCGTGGTGTCAGGGCTGCTCCTGTGCCCAGGCACTGTCTGGCCTTCGAGACACAGTGTCCTGAACCAGAGGAATGAATCCAGCCTCCCCAAAGCCCTGGTCCAAATGGTTTGCTGAGAGCAAAACATCATTAAATTCAACAGGCCATTAGCATTCCATGAGGAGCCTTGAAATGACTGACACACGTAACAAGCAGTGCTCCAAAATAAGAATGCCTTTAGTTTATAGAAATTGCAATTAACCACAAACACTGAGCAAGGAGGGAACACTTGGGGCTTTAAAAAACCTCACCGACAGACAGGGAAGTTGGGGAGTGCTGGTTCCGGAGCTGTCATCCTGCCTCCCCAGCACAGAAATGAGGGGAAACTCCCAGCTTGAGTTCATTTCATCCCCCACAACCCCCAGCAGCTCAATTCTTAGCAGCCCAGAGCCTTCTCTATGGTTTGGTTTTCATGCTGCTCAGAAACAGGCTTTCAGGAGGCTCTGGGCAATGGGGCTGCCGCTTTGACTCATGCTGTGACGGCAGTGGCCATTCCCTGTCACGCACCCGCAGCACCAAACACATCCTGGTAACACACACAAAGAAAACCCTTTTCCTAACGAAGGCAGGGATGAAATCTTGAGAGCTGAGCAACTGCTGTTTGTTGATATAAACCACGAAGCCACATTTGAGGTCTGGATGGTGGGGAAGGGGTGATGGTCTTCACCTTGAGCAGAGGTTCACTTTGCATCTGACCTGCAATCCCAACACCACAGCTCCCTGGAGCTATTTTCCTGCACTAAAGCTTGTTATAAATAAGCCTTTGTCCATCTGCACTCCCCAAAGGGCTCCACACCTCCACCCTAACCCATGACACCCAGCTGCACACCCTCACCAACACAGCCCAAGGTCCGATTTCTGACCTACTGCACCTCATCCCTTCATTAGGGTGCACAAGGAAAAACCCTCCTTGTATCAAAGCATCCACTTAAACCCCTAAATTCCAGCTAGAAATGTCAGGAGTTTCAGCAGGAACAGAGCACACAAGGAACTCCAGGAGCACTCTTAGATCCTCCTGGAAACCAGCAGGACTCATGTTTGTTCTCTGCTTTGCCAGGCTAAGACCTAAACTAGAGGGAAACCTCCTGGCCAAGACACTAGCATGAGCCAAAATGCACACAGATGTTCTAAATACCAATGCTTAAGTGAGGCTGGATGGAAAGAGACAAATCCCCCTTCAAAATACATCCCGCAAGCAGAAATCCATGGCGCTGGCAGCGACCTTTGGGGGCACACGAATTTCCCCCCCTGAAATTCCCGCTTAGGAGATGATGTTTCCATTAAACCCCCCCAACATGACACAGCAAACAGCCCGGATTTACCTCTGGAGCCCGATCAGCTTCCACTTCTGGAAATCCACAACGTGCAGAGGGGAGGTGACCCAGTGCTTCACAGGCTTGGCATAAAGGCCGCAGGTGGGCACGAAGATGGAGAGCGCCGTCACGAGCTTCTTGACTATGGCTTCCTCCTCCCCCAGCACGATGAGGGTCCTGCCGCTGAGCAGGGAGTAGATGGCAGGGTGGGCAAAGGGGTATTGCCTGATGAACCTCAGTGCGTTCTGCCCAGCCTTCTTCTTGTGCCTGTCAGCCCCCTGGCAGGCAGGGTGAGCTGGAGAAGGGGTCCTGTCGGAGCACGTGGAGGCAGCGCTGCTCATATAGCTCGTGGAGTCTGAGCACTCATCCAGGCTGCTCTTACTGACCTCCCTGCTGCCTGCCATGTAGCGAGAGTCAAGCTCGTAGGGCAGGAGCCCCCCCGAGATGCCATCGTGGGAGGGGAAGCTCCCAAAGGTCCCATGCAGCCCCGGCTCGGATGCCCGGTACGGCTGTGGCGGGATCCGGACCACCCCATCCTCATCGCAGGGCTTGTGGCCCAGGTCAGGCAGAGGCTCCAGGAAGTTGGGGCTCTCCTTCCCGATACAACAAGCAGAATCCACCTGCACCAAGTTCTCCTGCTGTGAAACATCTTCCTGCTCGTCAGCGTCATCCAGGTTCAGCCTGGGGGTGAAGCGGAGGCCTCCCTCTTCATCCCCCACATAGGGCTCCTCGTTAATGGCACTTGGGTAACTCGCTTTGAAATCCTCTGGGATGAGCGACTCGGAAGGACACGTGCTGAGGACCTCAATGCTGTCCTCGCTGACGGTCCTCCTGCTGCCCACCTTGCTCCTGGCCACCTGAGGGCTGGGGCTGACGGGCAGGCTGGCCTGGCTCTCCGACTTGGGCAAGCCAGAGGCAGACTTCTCCGTTCCCAGCACCTCGATGCTCTCACCGCTGCTGATGCTGCCTTTGAGGTCTGCATCCAGGTAATCCAGGTTCTCCTGGTGCTCAAACGTCACAGACTCGCTCATCTGGGGCTCCTGGGAGTCCTCAGTTTCCTGCTCCATCTTGATGGGCACGCACTCCACGCTGGACTTGTAGGCTCCCAAGCTGATGACCACTGTAGGAGCAGGGAACTCTTCCGCACACTTTCCATCTCTAGCATCGTGACTGTGCCCCTGGCAGCCTCTGTATTGTTTTCCAGGTGGTTTTTCATCCAGATAAGACGTATCCTCAAAGAGGAAGTTAGTTATGGTCTGTTGCTTTAGCAGGGCCCTGCTGATCTGCTCTGTCAGGAGGTAGCACACATCCCCTCTGAAAGTCCTCTCGATCTGGTGCAACTGCTCCAGGGTTTGGGTGAAAAAATACACATCACAGAGCTCCTCCAGCGTCTTCAGCTTCTTGTCAAAGCATTTGGCAGACTTGGCTTTGATAAGCTTGGGGGTATAGGACGGCACATGGGTGTAAAGGGGAGTTTCAGCAGGGTCGGAGGTAGTGGGGTCCCGATCGCAGCCCGCGTTGGCCTGATCCAGCAGCGCACACTCCGGCTCATAAGGGTGGAAGTCAGATTCCTTCAGCTTCCTGTAGGGATATGACCTGATTTGTTTCAGCAGGTCCTGGTGCTCGATGATGGACTTCTCCACACTGGCCAGCTCGTTGGCTTTCTCAATGGCTTGGGTGGTGTAATACCCCTTGTCGTTGGCTTTCTTCTGCACCTCGGTTTCGTTGTGCAGGACGGTCCTGGTGTAGTCGAGATCTCTCAGCTTCTTTTCCAGTTCATCAGCGAAAGCTTTCCGGTTCCCTGTCTTTAAGCATTCGGAGGCCTTGGAAAACTCAGCAGAGAGTTCCTGGAACTGCTGCATGATTTTGTGCTCATCAGCAGAAATATACGCCATGCAGAAGGGCCTCACGAACCCCCTGGCTTCCAGGTCATAGAGAGTCAAGTGGTGCACGTAGGCAAAGGCTCCCTCCTTCGAGTCCCCAAGCACCACTTTGGAATCCTCCACGAAGTTCAGCTTCGGGTACGCAGAGCCGGGAGGATGCCCCACGAAGGAGGCCTGATAATCCACAGACATGATCCGCAGGGAGAAGTAATTGAGATCGAAAGTCCCCGATACTTTGGCATCCTCGGGGATGGTCAGGAGGGGCTGAGGCCCCACTTGCTCCGAGAACTCGGAGATGAGGATGAAATCCCGGCTGAACTTGGAGTTGGCCACCTTGGCCCAGGGGTTGGCGCCCTGGCCGGCGAAAGGGAACAGCGGCACCGAGTACTCCTCGGGCAGCGGCGGCTCGCTGTACAGCTCATCCTCCAGCTCCTCCTCCCGGGTGAACGCCACCACATCGGGGGCGCTGATCATATTTCCCTTAGGACGGGACCGACATGGAGCAGCGAGGCCCCGTCCGGTCCCCCCCCGCCGCCACCGGGCCCTACGGGAGGCCCCACCGCAGCCCGTGTCCCACCGCTGGGCCCCACCACGTGTCCCGTTGTTGTCCCGCCGCCTCCTCACGCCTCGGCCATGGCCGGGCCCCGCCGGCCCCGCTCCGCCGCCGGCCCTCACGGACGCCGCAGCCCCGCAGCCATCTTGGGATCACATGACGCCGTCACCTCTCACCCCGACAGCAGGAAGCGAAGGAGACACCGCCGCCTCCCCCTTCCTTCTTTACCGTTGTTTTTAAGCCGCCGCTATCCTTTCGCGTTAATTCAACCGGGAGCGGACGGTAAACAGGGGCGGAACGGCGAGCGGAACGGTAAACAGGAGCGGGACGGCAACCGGGCGCGGAGCATCATGGGAGTTGTAGTCCTTTAGCGCTTTACGGCAGAGCGAGGGCAACCGCGCCGCGTCCCGCCACTTTTTGCGACAGAGCGCGGAGGTGCGTGAGGAGAGAGTTGGGGTTGCGAGGAACGGAGGGGGCTGCTCCGGTGAGGGGAGACCGGAGGGGTTAGGGGTGTACTGGGGGTGCGCTGGCCCGGTTGCGGTGGGTATGGGGCAGCCGCGGCCTGAGGGAGGCCCGGAGGGCGGGTACGGGGACCCGGTAGCGGGGAGAAGCCGCCTCCAGCAGTGAGGGGCCTGAGGAGAGCCCGGACAGGGTTAGGGATGTGTGGGGCTGCCCTGACCCGCATAGGGCGGGCAGGAGGCGGGGTACGGGGGTCCGCGAGCGGGCAGGACCCGCCGGGAGCCGCTTCTGACAGTGGGGAGAAGCCTCCCCCAGCAATGAGGGTGCCTTGGCCCCTTCCCGGCTGTCAAAGGCGGGGCGGGCCAGTGAATGGCGACTCAGCGCTCGCTGTGCACCCCCGGCAGGGCCTGCAGGATGCCCGCGCCCCGGCCGAGCTCCCGCCGTCCCCGGTGATGACGGCCCGGGCGAGGCTGTTGGCCGGCGGCGGGCTCAGGATGCTGCCCCAGCCCTGGCGCCTCTTCTCCCGCGCTGCGGAGGACACGGCGCTGCAGAGGATCCGGAAGGTGCTGTGCGTGGCCGAGAAGAACGATGCTGCCCGGGGGATCGCGGAGCTGCTCTCCAACAGCAGGATGCGGCGGGTAGGGATGTGCCACAGCTCAGGCCTCGCACATGGGGCCGGCTTAGCTGGCATCAGCGTCGCAGCCTGCATCTTGTGTGGTAGCCCCAACAGAGCTTGGCATGGGCAGCTCCCATCAGCACAGGCAACATCTCACACTGCTTTTGTGTTCTGGCTGCTTCTGACCATACACGAGTACAAGAATAACTTTGCCCAAATGTATTTGGGAGCCTTGGATCCTTTTTCCTGTTGGGATTCGGCTCCCCAGCTGTGCTTCCTCTGTCTGGACAGCCTTCTCCAGGCTCAGAGCTCCACAGTGCTCCTCCTCCAGTTGCAGTGTGTGTGAAAGGCTTCAGGAACTGAAACCATCTGGCTTGCGTTTCCCAGTCAAAAAGCACCACTTCTGCAGCATCAGCAAGTGTCAGGGGTTCACTGGAGTGCACACAATAAAGCAAAGATGGTCTGTGCTGCTGCTTTGTTTTGTGACTAGCAGTGTGTGTACTCGCTTGGTATTTCCAAGCTGAGAGCTAGAAGGTGCTTCTAGACTAGAATTAGTTCGAATCAAAGGTGTTACTGAGAGCCTGAGTGCTGACACTGCAAATCAAGGAAGATGGCATTCTGCTTGCATAGAAAAAGCAGCAATATGCAATCTAGAAACTTCCATGAGCCTCAGGCAGAACGTAATCTTGGGCACCCAGAGCAGGACAGTTGTTTGTCAGGAGTATAACTGACCAGCCCCATTAAATAAGTTTCTTCTTTACTGTTGACACTCTCAATGGGGAGATAACCCTGGTACCCCCTCAGGCATGGTTTCCTATACTCTTACATATGGTTTAAAGTGCTCTTAATGTTTAAAAGCACGATTTATGTCTCTCTATAAATGGTATAGGTAATTTCTATTGAGTACAGTACCTGGTTTTCACTTTCCCCATACTTCTCTCTGCTCTGGCATGTATAAACACATGTATAAAGTGAAGCAGAATGAGTTTGGTTTCCTGCAGCAGCCAGAAACTCAGGACCTTTTCCTTTTCCTTCCAGCGAGAAGGGTTATCCAAGTTCAACAAGATCTACGAATACGACTACCAGATGTTTGGCCAGGTAGAGTTTCCCTTCATTCTGCTCCTACAAATGCAAAATACCAATTATTAAAAGCCATTTGTTAGAAGTTACAAAACCATATCCAGTGATGGAGTCATTTTGTCTAAAGGTGAGGAAAAGTCAAATGTTCTTTTCTTGGCTCAAGCACTGACCTGGGTCATCGCTTTACATCTTTCAGTTTGGTTTAATATCAGTCAGGAAGATGTTGCTGTTGAAAACTGAGAGCTTCCTAAAGGAATTGAGGAAAAGGCCATAGATTTGGCTGTCAGTAGAGAGAAGAGCTTTGTATTAGCAGGAGGGAGGTGTCACTGACTGTGTAAATCGAGAACTGAGGGAAGATCTTGGGCCTGGGGGTAGCTTTTAGCAAAGGATGGGCACTGACTACCTTGCTCTGTCTCTTGCAGAACGTTACTATGGTGATGACATCTGTGTCAGGACATTTACTGGCTCATGACTTCAAGATGCCCTTTCGCAAATGGTGAGTACATGGTACCCCTCACAGGAGGGAGCTGTCATCTTCTGCTTTCAACCCGAAGCTAAGCAGAGCAGGAGGGACTCCGACACGGCCGCAGAGCAGGATGATGAGTACCAAATTCGACATAGAATATAATGTTACTTCAAATTACAGTCTTCATACTGTTAAAATACATTAAGGCAGACCTAAGGAATTAAACTGATTCTGAAACCTGAGAGATGCTTTTGTGTCCTTTGTCCCCAGGATGTGAGGCACTTTCTCTGGTTTCCTCCCGCTTTGTTTTCTGCACTTGAAATAAGAGAAGCTGCTTGTTTAGGGCAGCCTTCCAGATTGGCTGTTTTCCCTTGTTGCTTTTTTTGTTTCCATTGCTTTTTAAGTGTAACTTAGACAACATAGAGTTCACATGAAATGCTAAGACGAGGCCCGCAACAAAACATATTAATTCCAGTACTTGAACAGCACTTCCTCACAAGACAGCAGCAGTTAGTGTCTCACAGTAGATGCTTTAGTTTTTGTTATGCACGCTCTTTATCCTCTTTCCCAGGCATAGCTGCAACCCTCTAGCTCTTTTTGATGCTGAAATTGAGAAGTATTGCCCTGAAAACTACGTGGATATCAAGGTATGTTGTTTTTAAGAGGTTCCCCTGAAACTCTTTTGAGGTCAGAGGTTCTGCAAACATTGCCTCAGACAGGAGGGCAATTGTACCTTTGTCCTTAACATCCAACTTCCTGTGGTTTAACAAATTCCTCCTGTGTATCATAGCACTATATATATATATACATACATACACGTGCTGTTTGTGACATCAAAAGTCTCCTGCTCATGTACATTATAGAATCATAGAATAGTTTGGGTTGGAAAGGCTTTTAAAATAATCCAGTTCCAGCCCCTCTACCATGGGCAGGGACACCTCACACTAAACCATGCCACCCAAGGCTCTGTCTAACCTGGCTTTGAACACTGCCAGGGATGGAGCATTCACAACCTCCCTGGGCAACCCATTCCAGTGCCTCACCACCCTAATAGGAAAGAATTTCCTCCTTATATCCAGTCTAAACTTCCCCTGTTTAAGTTTGAACCCGTTACCCCTTGTCCTGTCACTACAGTCCCTAATGAATAGAAACATTAGAGCAGTAAAAGAACAGCTGCTTTGCTAAAAGTAGAAATATTTTTTCCAACAAGGTGGAATTGGCAACAGCATCTCGATTTGACCAAAAAAATGCCATTTTCAGCACAATGGTGGCACGATCCGAGCCAAGCCATGCTTTATAACAGAGTCAGATGTAAATAAATGACTCAGCTCTTTTGACAGCTGCCTGATCTCATGAGACACACAATTACAAAACCTTATTTCAACAGTCTCTATGGATGCACGTTGTATTTCATGTTCAGTTTCATTCTAAAGCTAAATGACAAAGCAAGTGGCCTGGTATATCTCAGTGTGTGGTATTTCCTCATCTCAGAGAACCCTGGAACGAGAAATCCAGCAGTGCCAGGCTCTGGTGATCTGGACTGACTGTGACCGGGAAGGAGAGAACATTGGCTTTGAGATCATTCACGTTTGCAAAGCTGGTGCGTAGAGCAGCTTCTTCATCCGAGTTCCATTAAAGTGCTGATGTGACAGGTATTGCTGCTCAGAGAACTTGTAACAGAGGCAGGTTCTCGATCTTCCTGTGCCCAGGTTAAATGTTGACTGTTAAATATGTAGCTCTGATAGTCCAGAAGCATGTTCAGCTATTGGAACACTGTAGAACAGGTTGACAGCATGCTCATTTGAAGATGGCTGTTTATTAATTGCTCCTTTCCATTGGTGTTTGAGCCACTGTTTGATTTGGTTTTTTTCCCTGTGCTCCTGTGACAGTAAAGCCAAACCTCTGTGTGTTCCGAGCCCGTTTCTCAGAGATCACACTCCATGCTGTCAGAACAGCCTGCGAGAACCTCACCCAGCCTGATCAAAAAACAAGTGATGCTGTCGATGTCAGGCAGGAGCTGGACCTCAGGATAGGTATGTAAACATGCCCTGGAGATGAGAGCAGGCTGCCAGGCCCTCTCATACACCTCTACTAACAGAGGTGACCAACTGTGGTAGGTGGGCAGGGGACAGCTTTGTTAGCAGTGTGTAGTCTCTAAATGCGCTCCCTTAGACTGCTTTACAAACAAGGCTCTTCCTCACTTCTCATCTAACCACATTGAATGCACATTGTTAAAGCCTGGCAAAGGGTGTTTAGAAATCATCTGTTACTGTATCCTCAACACAAGACAAATGCCCTCTGCAGTGTTGTAAATCTGATTATTAGATCAGATACAACCACACCACATCTCATGTTTTACTGGAACCATGCTCTTTGAAGGATACGCTAAGTGTATAGCTCATGCAACACTGACAGGCTTCTGCACCTGAATATTAGAGTAAAATTAATACTCAGAGTATTAAAAAGAACCATCTGAAGTGTTGTGGTAATCGGTCAGTGTTGTTGTATTCACTTGCGGGGTCCACTTTCTTTTCACAGGTGCTGCCTTCACCAGATTCCAGACACTGAGGCTGAGGAAGATCTTCCCCGATATCTTAGCAGACCAGCTCATCAGCTATGGTAGCTGCCAGTTCCCAACGCTGGGCTTTGTAGTTGAACGCTTTAAAGCCATCCAGGCCTTCGTTCCTGAAGCTTTCTATAAAATAAAAGG